TGAATGAATGGTTCACAGAAGTAGTTTATCTTCCTCAAAAATTCTGAGTAAATCACAGTATTTCAGAGCAGTTTATACCTTAAACATAATGCAGTTAATTAAAACCACTGTCTTTTGTGAAGTTATACCTTATTTCACTCTATTAGGCATTTCTACCTCAGGGAGAAAAAAAAAAGCTTTCTGGGCTTCTAACAAATTCTAATAAACTTAACTTGTAATCTCCACAGACTTGGGAACACAAAGTTTGCTTTAAAAAAAATTATCATACTTTTGGAAAAAATGTTTTCGATAATACCAATGTTTTAACAGTGCATTCAATAATTTTCTCTTTAACTTTAAAGAACTTGGTAGGAGTAAAGCTAAAATATTACAATAAACTAGACTCTAAACTTTACATCTTGGTCTTCCAATCATAACAAATTTAAATTTTTAGCTCTTATTAATACCTAGGGAATCTGTTTTGCTACACTGTATCCCCAAAAAATGTATAAGGATGATAATAAAATTATACTAATATAACATAGGGATGGGATTCCAGGGCTTTGATATTAAACTGATAGAAAACCCATTAAAACATAAGTTTCAATGATATTTTAACCAAAGTGACCTCAGAGTTGTCAGACTGATTTTACTTAAAGATGAGTAAATCCAAGTTTAAGATGTTTATTGGAATGTCGCTTAAATAGATGATGACCTAATCAACCACACCAATCTGCAGGTTTCCTTCCCTCTGAAGGTACTGGATGAAATTATCATGTCTCAGAACATACCTTCAGTAAAAAATTATCAGAAATAAAATATACAAAAAAAAATCCTGTGAGACCAGAAGTTCATGTTAACCAATTGTTTGAAGAAGAAGGGTGTATGAGCTTTTTATAAAGTAGTATCTTTCCAAAACCCTTATTTGACACCAAGTGATTTAACATAATTCAGTACAAATAAGACAGAAAAGGATTTATTTTTGTTGCTATCATCCAACTTTCATTTGGTTTATCATCCATACAGCAATTTGAATTTAATTCAATATTTTTGAGTGCCTCTTATGTCAGACACTATAAGAACAAAAAAAGGTAACAAGCGATTCCTTCCTTTGAGAAGCTCTATCTAGAAAATTATCTTCAGATTATTCAGATAACTCCAACCCTGGGGCTAACCTGAATCCCTAAATCTCCCACAGTCCTGCCAAAACTTTTCTTCTCATATTCTTCAGATGAGCTTTCTAATTTCCTGTCATTCCTTTGCTCAAATTCATCCAGAGCATCCTATTGTCTCCACACTAGCTAAATTATTAATTTTTAACCTTAAAGGGGAGTCAAGTCTGAGATTCTGATTAAAGATACTGGCTTTGTCCTCCAGAAACATGCACAGAAGTGCATACACCATATACTTTATCTCACTGCACTGGAAGCTGATTTCCTGAACATAAGCAATATATAATAATAACACTTACAAAGGATTATGCCTCCCTCACATTATTATTTTCATGAGAGAAAAATGATGACTTACTGAAAGAAACTTTTAAGATTTTAACTGCTCAATAGTAAATCTCAGTGAGATTTGCCTTGAATTGAAATTATAATATGGTCTTTGACATAACAACACATGCATCATCTCTAATTATCAATTGTAACTTTTTTTCTCCATGGCAACAAGTACTGAAATCCTTGACTCATAAAGGTACATACAACCAAAGCAGTATTCCATAGAATGCTTTGTCATGTTAAGGTAGCCTGTGTACTAGAACACTAAATTCCTCCAAGAATTTCAAGTCAAAGTCAAGTCACATTATTTCCTCCGCCTTCAAGTTCAATTAAGACCTGGAAAGGCAGCAAATTTCTTTCTGTCTAGTAGAGAAAACCATCATATTCTGCCCCTATTTCTTGGCAATACCTCTTGGAAAGGTGGTGACAGCTGCTGATACGGAAAGTAACAAGGCAAAATGACATGTGGCTATCCCTTCCTCATAAAAGCAGGAAAACCATGATGTGTGCCTGACATCACAGGTGTACATCTGCCCTCAGAATGCTTTCATTTTTCCCTGCCATCTGAATAATTATTAGAGACAGAGGGAGAGGTATTACTTTGAAGATGCTGACAGCCTTTCCAGTTTCCAAAGAGTCCTAAAATGAAATTCTTCATCGGAGACATCAGAGAGCACATGAAAACATGAAGCCTGATGCACTGAGAGACATCAATAGTTTCATCCAGCTGCATGATGAACAGATATGGCGTAGTGCCCATTTTTTCCCAAATCTGGAATGAATGATACCATTTGCCAAGCACTGCCTCAGTTCTCTTTCATGGAACATAATTAAGGAACTTTGCGCCAAACAACTGGACTCTCCACTCCCCTAATAAAACACGACTGGTTCCCACCTCTATGCTTTTGTTCTTGGTATTCCACCCATCAAAAAATGTTTTCTCCCTCCTCTCATGTATTTCAATGCTGTCCATCCCTCAAGACCCAGACCAAAGCTATTCTAGTGAGCTTTCCCTGATTACTGCAGTCTGAAATGATCTATCCTTTTTTTATGAACTCCCACAATGTATGCTATCTATGACTGTTCTCAAAGTGTGGTTATGAGACCACCAGTTCCAAAAATGCACCATAATCTGTATTTTTACAAACACCAGAAAGAGCTGTGGCAATTTCTCCACCGTTTTCCTAAACTATTTTGCCATTCTTAAAAGAATAACTTACCCCCAGGTAGATGGAGAGGGGAAGGCTGGCAACAATGCTTACTGTTGCCAGGGTGACAGATTGACTTATCTCAATTATTCCTTTCTGTACTCATTTTCACACAAAGTTTGACTTGTCAAGCGTGTATCTGCCAGATCACTAATGTCATTGTTGACTGCTGAATTTACCATCATCATACCTCCACGCCATGATTGAATGATTGTTCAATCATTGCCTCCCAATTCCATGGCCATCCTATTATTCTAAGGATTCAGATGTTGCAACCATTTTCAAAATAAAAATGAAGGTAAGCTGATTAGATAGAAAGGTCTACAACTGACATCATCTACTCAAACAGGATATAAAATCATCTACATTCTACAGCTGAGCAGTAACTTGAAGATTATCTCTTCCAACAGATTCACATTATAGATGGGGGAAATGTGGAGAATGGGGTAGTTTGGAACAAGAAACTGAAATTTTTAAAGTATCAAAATCTCAACAAAATGGTAGCAAAACTGTGCAGAGCCAAAAGGGATTGTCCTAATTGGCTCATGGATTCAACACCTAATGATAAAGGCAACTAAGGAGTTAAAAGAATAAGGAATTAAACAATGGAAATAACTCAAAACGTAAAAGATTATATTGATCAACCATCTAAAGAAATGGCCCAAAAGACGGTCTTTGACACAAAGTGACCAAAATTTAACACGTTACATTTATTAATATAGTTATAATTTATTTACTACATGCCAGGCATTGGGCTAAGTGTTTTACCTACATTAGAGCAATTTTGTTATACTCTAAAATAGGGGGGAAATGTGCTAAAGGAAACAGTATATAGTAACTGTAAGAAAAGAAATCAAGAAAGCAAGAGCTGGCCATCTGTCTGTATTCTGGTCTAGTACAAAGGATGCTCTGAAAATTGATGAGTATCTGGTCTGAACAGCAAGTAAATTCCTTTGGGAAAGGTGAAGGTATCATACTAACAGAGCTTCCTGACACTAGTCACCAAGAGCTGATTCAATGCTCATGAAGAATTTAGTTTTCCATATAGAGTTGCCTACTTGAAGAAAATACACTGAATCATAAACATGAGAAGCCAAGGGGCCCAAAACATCTCATTACACATTGAAAAACTAGCATGTGGTATCTGTCCATCAGTATCTACGAGGCTGGCTACAGTGATACAGTCCTCAAGCACCCAGCCTCCTTGCTGATGAACTAATAATGGGCCTAGATGAACCAACAGGGCCAGCCTTAGAAAGCAGTGGACATGTCAAAGTCACTTGTGACGCCTAGCAGTGAGTCTAAACCGCCCTGTCTTGCTGTTCCCCATCTTCAAACTACAAAGCTATGTAATTTCAAACACATGCATGCAAGAAAGAATCATTTAATTTGAAACGGGAATAACGGACAAAGGGGGAACAAAATAGTGTTGTTTCTCCATGTTCTAAAGCACTACCTTGTGCGTTTAGAGCTTAGTTTTTACAGCAGAGAAGGCTGAAAATTCGTTTTTTTTTTTAATGGCACCAATAAATATTTGTTTCATTCATTAAAAGAATTTTTAACCTAAGCAAAAAAGAAAAAGTTCAAGTAGAACTTGGACATATAAACTTTTATCAAAGAATAAATATCAAAACATTTGTCATGTCCACAAATACATACAATTTGCAGTTAACTTAGGGGCTTTGTTTCTGTTTGGAGTGTTTTGTTTGTTGGTTTTTATTTTCTGATGACATTTCCATAGGAGAGAGATCTATATAGATACAGCAAAGTCCTAACATGAATCACAATTAGTTCACAATGTCACATCAACAATTCCAAAGTCAGAAAGCAGTAAGAATCATTAGGACCCTGTGACCAGTGCAGAGGGAAACACACAAAAGTTGCACTAACGCCGTGAACCTCAAGGATACAACCTTACTTCTTCTACTACCAAATTTTAACTACTGTGATATCATTATTAAAATATACTTTTAGTCTGATTAACTTTTTTCTAATCAATAATGGAGTTATAATTAATACTATTTTCAAACAGAATTACTCAGTAAATAATACATGGAGAAGTACTGCCATCTTTAGGGAGAATGCAGGATTACTGACTAATTACCTAAAGTAAAATTCAAACATAAGTTCTTGACCTCAGTGAATCCTATCGTGGACATTTGGCATGGGACACATTTTTTTTTAATAGATTTGTCTTTTGCAATAGTTTGGTCCAAAAGGTCTAAAATCCAACAATTATAAGAGGCCCATTAATCTCTGAAAAATAAAGCAATAATTGCACTGACAGGTAAGTTAGCCAAAATAAATCCTAAATGATCAAAATTAAGGGTATATTTTTATACAGAGGACAATGAGTCAACTCAAGAAGATTAAAATATACAGTCATAGACTGTTTTGAGAAACGGATGAAAAATTATTTGTTATTTGCATATGAGGCTGGAGATTTTTAAATTTATAAAATAAACATCTGTGGTTTAATATTTATAATATCACTGCTTATCACTAGCACTGAGATTTTAAACTGTTTTGTACATAACATACAGGTTTTTATACAAGTTTAAAAGCAAATGATGTCCTTGAAAATTTCACCTGCCATTTCTTTCTCAAATAGAAAATATCCCAATCAGCTATTTTTCATAACTAGCAATAATAATTATAGATATTTTACTCATTATTTTTTACCTCAACACTTATCATGAAATAAATCAATGACCATGATCTCTTTTTGAAAGAAATGTGAAATACATTATGTTACGCACGAGGTACTCAATATGCTAGATACAAAGAACAATTTGTCTGTTCACATTAACAAAAACTGGTTATCTAAATGATAACCAATACAGTTTAAAAAAATGGAAAGTTCATGGGCCAAGGGATAAAAATATCTGGGTTCCACAATTTTCAGACATATTGTTTAAAAAATTTAAAAAAAAACAACGAAGGTACAGCAAAGTGCACACAGTATGCTACCATTTGCATGAAGCAGAATATATACATTTACATGGTTATATATACATAAAACATCTCTTGAAAGCCCAAGAAACTGGTAACTTCTTGACCCTGGGGAAGAGAATAAGAGAACCGAGAGATGGGGTTGGAAGAAAACTTACCTTTCACAGTACATCTTTTTGTACTGTTTAATTTTTTTAAACACGTACATGTTATTACCTACTAAAATAATCTTTAGGAGATAGCTGGTCTCTATTCCTGACTTCTTCATTAGCTGCATGTGTGATCTTCTACAATCACTTACCTCAATTTTCTCCATTTTAAAATGAGGTTTTACTAAATCTCGAGAGTTCCCATCTATAATTCAACAGAATTTTGGCTCAAAAGGAGGTACATACAAAATGTATATACCAGGTGGCTAAATAAAATGGCTATAAAGCTTACTTTGCAGTGACTTACATACATGATATGATAATTATTTCAGCTCTGCCTGCCCCATTCCTATCAGGCTATAAAAGCAGCACAGTAAGCAACAGAGTTTGGGAAGAAATTTTGTATTTGTGAACTAGACTATGTTTCTCTTCTTTCTTTTTATTCTATATCAAAAATTAAAATCTGGTTAGTCCTTTTTTATATATATTCAAACTATTAAGATAAAGACTCTCAAAACATATTTTGATAAATAAACAAATATTAAAAGTAATTATAAAGAGGTAGAATTTGGTGGGTAGAGTTTAAAAATGGATCCAGAGACAGGAAGAAAAGCTGAAAAATCACAACTATATTCCCATAAAATTAGCCCAAGAATTTCCTAAAAATCATCCATAATCGTCATAAACATAAAAGATATTGGCAGACCCAGGGTAGCCAAGAATAGAGCAATAGAAGGTTTAGACCAGTAAAAGTAGGACATGAAGAGGACACTGAAAAGAAACTAACCAAAACTGACTGACACCTGAAGAAGAGAATAGGGCAGGCCTGATGATCCACCCATTCAGAACCCTACATGCTGCAGAGCAAAACTGTTAGTCTTGACTCTCAGAGGGCTTAGAGTCTACTCATGGGGACACTGTAATTAAATAACAATGCAGTAATAACACAAAGGATCAAAGTGAAAAATAAACAGCAAATGTTATGAATTCATCAGAGCAAGAAGTCACCATGGCTTGGGGCCCCAAGAATAGATTCATAGAAGAAACAGGACTTTAAACCTGTGTGTTAAGCAAAATGATGTTGGTAGCAAGGACAAAGTAAAGTCAGCAAGGGGAGTCAGTTCTGGTAGTAGGATGATAAATTTAGTTTTAGTCATAGTTTGACTTTTAAATAGCAACTTGGCAAAAAAAATGTTAGAAACTATTTTTCATATATTGGGTTGCCAAATTTTCTTGGTAGAATGCTATACAGGAGTGATGACAGGCTAGAGATACGTCAAAAGTGACTGAATAGGATACAAAATTAATATGCATCTAGATACAACTTTCAATAGGGCAGGGCTCTGGTCATACTTATACAGGACATTTGGCAACCCTCTTCCAGTATTTTCTTGCAAATGCCTAGTATTATTTCCTATCACAAACTTCATTCTTGGGAGTCAGCTCCACCCAAAATACATAAAACCAGGGAATCAAGAGGTGCTGGTTTTACTTTTCCATTGATTAAGACTGTGAATTGGGTCTGGTTGATGAAACACAGTACTGTGCGTTTTACTACAAGAAAAAATATCAAAACAAAACAAAAACTATCTTCTCTCTCAGTGATCTAGTAATCTTATAAAGCTAAATCTTATAAAGCTAATATAGAACCACATAATAACTTTGGGCAAAATATGCGATATGAATTCAAGGTATTATAGAGAGAGTGTGTGTGTGGGGGGGGTGTTGTTACTGGCAAAATACTGATAAATCTCGTAAGAAACTTCTAAACAAAATTTCTCTCTCAAACACTGGCATAGAACAAGAAACAATATCAACAAATATTTTTAAAAAGGTTATTAAACAAATGAAGTTTTTAATGTAGAAAATATAAATTCTAAAATTCTATTCTATTGTTCATTTTTGTTACAATCCTTCAAACAGCTAAATACACATATTACTCTTTTTTTTTAGTAATCTCTTACTAATTTACTAAGGTGAGAATGAGTATATAGAGGCTTACTAGAGGGAAAAAAAATCAATGTTTAGGAACAAATTTATTTAAAATAAAAAGGAAGACTGGAAACAAGTATTAGTTAAAAGTTTATGATCTAAAATAATTCTGTGCTATAGTAATGTGCCTTGTGTTATCCTGACATGGCTACGGGCTTATGCTGATGCCTATGGTTGATTAAAGTTCGAATAACAAGAAAAATAAACCATTTTCAAAGCATTAGAACAGCAAATTTTAAAGGTTTCTTTTTCTCATTTTACTATAGATTTTGAAATTATATTAAAATGTTGTTTTATTATAGTTATCCTCTTCTAGTTCAAGTCTGTCAGCATTTCTATGATTGACTTCAGTTTTAAAGGTCATATGACTCATCCATAAAATTTGCTCTATTGAAACCTAACACACAGTGGTAATTCTTCCCTTTAAAGGCAGATTTTGAAAGTTAATCAAAAGCTGGATAGCTCAAATGGCATACAGACCTATGCTTTCAGTATTAAGTCACTGGTTTTGATCCCAAGCAGGGCTGATTTCTTAAAAGTCATTCTGCATACTGTCCTAAAAGTACTCATTGGCCTAGATAGGGTAAATAGGCTGCTTCATTTCAGTTCTGAGGGAACAAAAATCCCCACTTAAACTCTAGTGGTTATCTAGATGGTAAGATCTAAAGTTTTATTTATTGTCAGGTTCTCCCTTCACAAAGGAGGTAAAAAGAAAGAGAGAGAAACCTTCGAGGGCCCTCCAGGAACATACATGACAGTGAAGTATCTAGTTTTCATTAATGGTTATTTTAAATATTCACCAGTCCAAAGAGTGCATCCTAGAAAAGTAAAATTACTACAATTTATTTCAATCATCTGTTCAATGTTTAATGGCATACTTTTCCCCTTGGAATCTGGCTATGGATACTAAATCACTGAAGTTTATCATATGGATTATGTCAGATTCTATTAGTTTATCCAGATGGTTTTCTCTTAGTTTTCAGAGACAGTTTCTGCCTTAGTCAGAGGCATAGGGACTAAGTGACAACTCCTGGACAGACAGACCCAAGCTATGGGACTCAACAAACACATTTTGTTCAGTCCAAGAACACTAATAATAGCTTATTTTAAAAAATAAGATAGTTTCTTTTTAAAGAAACAATCTTTTAAAAATAGGTCTTACAGATTTTTGAAAAAGCCTTCTAAATACAATATATAGATTAGTTCACATTGCCTAATGCTATTATAATTTAATTATCCAGCACTTGTTAGAATGGTATCAAATACACGTTATAGTATAGACGCCATATGTGGGGGGGTAGGGGTGGCGGTGGGGAAAAGACAGAGAACCAGTGCGCTAACCAAACATCATTTCCCAAAAGAAAAACTGAAATAGGAAGGCACTGATCTAAATTATACAATAAACAATAAACTAAGAGAATGTGAGAATTAGTATGATATATTGATTCTATTTATTCTTTCCGGTAACCTCTTTGAAACCTATGGCTTCAACAACCACACGTACATGGATGACTCCTAAATCTTGAGTCCCCGGGCAATCTCTCCTGACCTCTAGTCTGTATCTCCTACTCACACTAAGCATCTCCAGTTAGATGGCCCACAAGCACCTCACACTCAACACGTTTGTAGACTTTAATCCAACGCTTCCCCCAGGAAAGGTGTTCCCCCTCCCGTGTTCCATATCCTGAAAAATGGTACCATCCACCTGCCTAGCCAGAAAGCCCAAACCTGGGAATCATACTAGACTGTCTTCATCTCTGCTGTCTGGGAAATTCCACTTCTGAGATAATTATAGTATCTGTATCCATCTCCATAGTCTCAGTGCCATTATCTAAATTGAGGCCCTGATCACTTTTTACTTAAATTTCTGAAACTGGCTTCTATTTGATTTCTCCACCACAAATCTTACCCTTATCCCATCTCCAATTCAGTCTCCTCAGTGCTATCAGATGCCCCTGGCTTAAAATCCTTCCACAACTACCCCTAATTTTGGAAATATGATTCTAACTACTCACTTGGTATATAAGATCTTTCTTGCTTTGGTCGTATTCCTTTCTTTAGTCTCCATGTGTTCTCATGTCCTCTCTATCTACATGGAAAGTTTTTCTACCTAGCTAACTCTTAAAACTTAACTTTCAAATGATGAATCAATTATGGAAAGCCTTCACCGACCACTAAGTGTGCCTTAATATTCCACTTCAGTGTATCTTTATAATGTATTCTTCTTCCTCAGCACTTGAGAGAAGAAACTGTATTTCTTATCTCTATAACCCTAGGACCTAACTCGGTGCCTCGCACAAAGCAGGAGCTCAGTATGTCTACAGAATGGATGAAGCAAGTCAACCTAAGACAATGAAATCTGAAGAAGACTTACGAAATTCTGACTTTTGATACCTGAGCAGGCTGCACGGGGAGGGGAAGTTTAATTTGCTTATTATTATCATCTGTCTCTAGATAATATTTAATTTTTTTTCATTTTCCATTCAATAAAAGTTTGCTAAATTAAAATCTTTAATCTTTAAAAGGCAAATAAATACCTCATTTCAAACACAACTAGTCCCACAAACAATAAACACTTTAATTAACACGATATAAAGGCCTGCATCACTCAAGAGGCTAAAAAGGAATCTGGGTTAACTCAACTTTGCAAATACCTGTTTGCCTGCATGCCTAGGACACTACCTATGCATTAATAACAGGTAAATCTAGCTGCCACCATCTACAGCCCCCAAATCAACTGTAGTCATATCAGTATTAGTTAAGTATGGGGTAATATAATTGTTGACTCCCATTCTCAGGGAAATAAATGCAAATGGCAGAAGGGAGAAGCCCATTACTATTTCACAAAGGCTAGAAGTACTGACCAAGGTCCATGAAAATGCAGGCAGATTCTAGGACCCTGTAACTTTTCTGCTTTTACTATCTCCTGTTTTCCTATACTAATAAGCTAGCTATAATCCATCCACTCATTCGACAAATGTTTTTTAAGGATTACTATGTCCTAAACATTGTGCTAGGCACAGAGTCTACATAACTCTCTCCAGTCTCTCACATAAACCTCTCCCGTGGGAAGAAAGACATTAAACAAATCAATGCACAAAGATAAACATAACTAAAAACTGTACTGGATGACAACAGGGAAAGGAACATGAAACAGAACCACAAGAGAGACTACTTTAGATTGTCTCTATTTAGAAGTGACATTTAAGCTAAGACCTGACAATGAGTAACTCAGTCAAGCAATGAACATACATTAACAACAGATCTGTATTTTAGGAAAGCAGTGTGACAGCAGCATGGAAGACAGATCAGACAGGTGGTCAATTTAGAGACTACTGCAGTAGTGTAGGTAAGAGATAAGAGTCCAAACTAAACTACTAAAGGTGGAGATGGCAAAGAAGAGACAGATGTGAAAAACATTCAAAGGCAGGATGGGCAGGCACTGTCACTAACCAGGTAAAGAGTCTAAGAGAGAGAAAGAGTCAGGGTATTTCTTAGGATTCTAATTAGCCCAGGTAACCAGGAAGGTAGGAATGTGAATCATTGAAACCGGTAACACATAAAGTAGGAGCAAGTTTAAAGGGAAGACAGTAAGTTTGATTTACTGAGTTTCTGTTCCTTTAAGATATGGAGAAACATCCATGTGAAGATACCTGACATGTAACTTTGAAAACAAATGGTCTTATAATTAGAACAGCCAGACTAAAAAATAAGTCTGGGGTCATCTTCACAGAAGATGGAGGAAGATCAGAGTTCACAGGAGCATCAGTTTGATAAATATTTATCAATATCCACCATGTTCCAGGTACTATGCTAGGTGTTAGGGGTATAAAGAAAAGACAGGAGTCCTACACCTAAGATGCTTATAGCCTAGGGGAGAGACACAACTAGATAATTTCAATAGAACTCTGATCCTTCCTCTCTTGCCACTGGCTTTTATTTTGTTACTAGGCCTTTAAATGTGAATCAGAGTTTCCTTACTTTTTCTTCTTTTATACTCTGTCACATTCCTCCATTCTTAAAGCATCACTTACTACTTCTGTTATTGAATGCTTACTGTGTGCCAGGAACTATCCTAGGCCCTGGGGAAGTAATGGTGACCAAGGCACAGGTCTCCTAAGAGCTTAACGGAGGAGGGAGACAATGAAACAGACAATTACAGTACAGTGAAACAGTGCTAGGCCAGAGTAGCATGAGAGCACATGGACGTCTGACAGTGAAAGGAAGGCGCAACAGATGGCAGTAACTAGACTGAAGGTAGTCTGGAAGGGAAGTTCACTTTCTGGCTGAAAGGAATTTGAGCATGTTTGTAGGTTGAGAGTGAGAAGTTGGTACAGAGGGAGACAGAGATGGGGAGAGGGAAGGAAAGGAGGATTGCTGGAGGAAGGTCCGAGAAAGATTAACAAGGGTAGAAGTATTGGACTTGGGGAAAAAAAAAAAGAACATTTCTTCATTCAAAGAACCAAAGAAGGAAGAGAATATAATTGTGATGCAGAAGAGGAGCATAAAGAAATCTCCTCTGCGTTTTGCTATGATATAGGCAAGGTTGCCTCCTATCAAGGAAACAAAACAGGACTGGAAGCTTTGAGGACAGTGCAAAAGTTCTGAAGTAGCAATGCGAGAATGGGTAAATAAAATAACTAACTAATTCTAATTCCTATGACTTGCGAGTGGAATCAAAGTGAAGTGTGAGCTGCATTTCACAGAATTCAATAGGCATGAATTAAACAAAGGTAAATCTTAAAAAAAGAATTACCAAAATATCATTAAATGTACACCCACATAGTGTGTAACTGATTATGGATTATTTATCAGAGTATGCAGTCAATACAGCACTCCCGTAAGTTTGAATTTGTCACCACTACTTAGTAACAACAGCAGCAGCTAGGCGGCACAAACAAAAAGTCAAGAAACAGAAGCCGGCAGAAACAGAAACAGAGGAACTCACAGACAGAGAAGCTATATAGGTCAGAAGATGAGGTAATGAGAAAGCTTAAAGGCAAAGACATATTGTGTACTAATGATAAGCCTGAAGATAACTGATGTAATGTCCTTCCTTTCCTTCCTTCCTTCCTTCATCAGTCCCTCAGCACCTGTTATATGCCAGGCATCCTGTGAAACATTAGTGATACAAAGAGAAGACCTAATTCTTGCTTATAAACTCAGAATATATTCTTGTACCCATAGCCTAGTGTTACAAAAAGTCATAATAAAACTGAAAGCTGTTCTGAGTTTTGCTACTCAAAATTATTCATTGTTCTAAAACATTAATCACAAAGAAGCAAAATTGTATCAAAAAGTTCAACATATTCTTGAACAATCAGCAAAAGGTACTGCCAAAAATGGCAGCAGATTAAAGACCCATAAAGTAGTATGTTCTAACTTAATAAACTGCTGTCTATCTTGGCCTTATCACAGATGTTATGTCTGACTTTTCCTTAAACGGTTGGATTAATACCAACAAAAAGGCAACAGACATCAAATGGCAAAGCAAGATAACCAGAAACTATTTGGCAAGTGCCAGAAAGTATTTTGGCAGCAAACTGATAGCAATTTTAACGATCACTGTAACAGTATTAATACATACTTACTGAGCTCTTGAGCCAGGCATTGTTCTAAGTATATTACATACAATATACCATTAAACTTTTATAAATTCCCACAGCAAACCTACCTATAAAGTAGTTTCTTATATTATCATTTTACAGATAAGAAAACTGAAGCTGAGGAAAACTAAGTAACCTGCCCAAACTACACAATTAGTAAGTAAAGGAGCCAGGACTGGAACTCAGGTATGCATGACTCTTAAAAATTCATGCTTTAACTACAGTGTGATTCTGTTTTCCAGACAAATGGAATAGTGCCAGACACATGATGAACACTCAGTAGTGCCTGTCACCAAAGGAATGAATGAGAGGATATAAAGCAGCTACTGCAGAGTAAGCCCAAATGTGGGAAATACAAGTTGAAGAGCAAAAGTGATACTCTAAGGATTCACTATATCACCAACTCAAATTGTGCAGCAAAATTGTGGGTGTCTAGAAAATAGCAGTGACTGACAGAATGGCCTAAGATGCTGTTACAGGAACGGTAATGGCTCTTTTTGAGTGAAAACTTCAGGATGGCTTTGAATCTGCAAAGCCAAAGATGGTCACAGCCACCAGGCAGTTCAGAGAAGGAACTGCAGGCGCTGATTAGAGAACTGTTTCCCACTTATTCTCAGTATGGAAAGGACTGTTGGTGCTGTATTTACGTAATAGTCAAGCCCACAGGTTACCTTTAATTCTATCACCTTTAAAATGGAAGAATATCACGTGCACTGGAAAGATGATCACATTCTAGAACTATCCAGATTCCTCTTTGAAAGACTGGCACAAAAAGATTTTTTACCAGGTCCAGGGCCATGTTTTATGCCACTGACTCTGCCACCATGATCACCAACAACAGGACCAACAGAGAGCACTTGTCCCAGAACAGCCAACCTCTGAGGAGCAACCTATGGCCAGCAACCTACAAAGATGCCTAGCATGGGAGATTTGCCCGACAGACAACATACCAAACTGAACCAATCAGATTTTGTCTGACAGAAGTCTGAATTCAAGTTATATGGAGAGGGAAAGTAGCTGAAAGACAAGAAGTCAAGTAGGGGAAGTAATAAGGCAGTTACATAACCACACTAAGAAATCAAATGAGGTCTTTTTTTTTTTTTAAAGTAAAAGCAGAGTCTCAGAAGGGACAACAGCAGCAGAGAAACAATACTGCTGCTGCTAAGAGGGCAACACCCAGTCACCAGAGTTGCATTAATTTTTCCACTTTAATACCTAGTTAAAATCTACACAGTGAAGCCAGTTTGTACAATTACTCCTAGATTCCCTTAAGGCCTGGCCACTTCTTTCTCTCTTATTTCTCCACACAATGCCTTCCAACAAACCTCTCTTTACTGGCTACAAACCAACTAAATCTCTGTGCTAACAACAACAAAAAGGGTAGCACGGTATTTGTATTCATATGTGTGGGTGCACATGCGCTCACACACCAGCAACTAGATGACATGGCAAATTAGTGGTGGCTGGTCATCCAAGTACTGAGGGTCTTACTTCCATCTTGTAGAATCTGTGGTTTGAAGACACTGTGTTCTTTAACTCTAGTTAACTGTTTTAGAAAGAAATGACCTTCAAAGAAGTATCTTAAACCTTAAAAATTAACAATTTATATCACTAGAATTATACACTTAGAGATTAAAAAGAGATCCACGACAGTTGTAGGCAACAAAACCATCTCCTTTAAAAGTTTCTTCCTCTTATTAGTGTATGTTTGCATCCGAATTTCATGACAAATAAGCGATTTTTTTCACTCACAATCACAAGAAACAATAGTTGACTAGTCAAGATACCCAGGCAAAGAAATGACAAATTGGAAAATTATGAAAATATTTTGAGGCAAGTTTTTTAACTTGAGGATATAAATATTGAAGATGATTCACAAATTTCACTAAGCATGTTCTTGTCTAACTTTATAATAGCCCCGGGAGTCTATTTTACATCCTCGCCTGCCCATTCAAAAGGGAAAGAGAATGAAGCTCAGAAAGTCTCAAACATCTACAACTGCCCAGTATGTCAGATTCCAAGGAACGCAGTAAGTATCTAATGAGCAAAAGGCATGAAAATGGCATGGCCACTCTCCTACAGCTTAGATAAAAATGACCCTAACAACCTATGTGTCAAAAATCCAATACTACTACCAAAAAATCCTTTCCCTAAAAGTTAATTGTTTTCATGTAATTCAATCACGTGTACACACAATGTTCCTAGTGCTTCACAATTTTTTTCCTTAGAAGAACAGTATTTCTCGCTGTTTCTTCCAAAATAAAAACTACCAGACACAACTAGGTACTTTGGCGTTTAGGCCTCTCAAAGCATTGATTTAGCCAAGAGGAGTCTCAGCTTTTTAAAACATGTATTTTTGCACAGCTTAGGAAGTCTGACTAAAAGCCACAGTTCCATTTCTCAGGGCTAATTTATTTTCAAGGTAATCCCACAGATAGAAGGAATTAATAACTAATATTTGAAAGAATTGTAAAGAGTTCTACGCACAAAGGGTTCATTTTGGTGTAATAATTTCTCCTCTGAACATAACATCATTATATGCTCTTGTATTGAAAGTGTTACCAGGTTATACAGAGCAGGACACCCAGACAGATTACAAGTTACTATTGCTCAAGAGTTCAAAGTGGGGTTTTTGGTTTGTTTTCATTTGACTACTTTTTTTTTTTCAACCACAACACTCTACTGCTTAAACTTTACAATATTTTGTGTGCCAGGAATATGCTCAGCTACCTGACATAAATATTTGAGTATCAGAATCATTAAGAAGCCACACAGCCCAGGTGCTGGAACCCCAGCACTTGACCTGCAGTTCAGGGTATGAAGATTCCTCCAAACCTAGGGATAAAGGTTCTCTGATGTTGCAAATTATCCCTCGACACAAAAATTTTTTAAATCGTCATCTTATAGTTAAAAAAGCAAGATCAAGAACAGGCGGGTGTGTAGGGAAACCTGCTCAACTGATAATTTAACAGTATTTGCACCTCAGCTGAAATCTGGAGCACTGCCATTGATGACTACCATTGGCAACTTCTGAAAAGTAGCGTTTCTTCTTATCTCTTCATGACACATTCACCAAAAAAACTCCTGACTTAGCCCAAACTATGCTCTCCTGAAGAATCTACTCTTTCCACAACTGAATGTGTGCTTTTAAATAGTACTGCATACCTACTTTAGTTTCATAGAAATATTTCAGCTATATTACTCAATTAATATTTGCTCCATGTCAATATTTTACACGACCAAAACGAAAATATTGTGTGACAGAACAGATACTAATGAGAATTTTAAGACAGATGGGTCATTCTAAGAAGCAACGACAAAAACAAAGCCTAATTTAAAGAAAACATGCTTAAAACTACCTAATATCCTTTTCAAGACAAATGAAAAGTTTATGAATAGGAATGATAAACTAGTAATATCTGATTAGAAGAAAACTGGTAGCAAATAATACAGTTGGTTGTCTGCACTGTCCCAATTAAATACAAAAGCAGCAGAGAACGTAGCAATAAAGTTCTCTCTTCTAATGCACACATTTCCATTTAAATTTAAAACTTCCACACTTGGATATACTGTGAAAATCACTTACAGTGATCATATCAAACATTTATTGTTACATGACAAGGCCCATCCTGTTTTATGTGTACTTTTCATTTTATCCTCAGAACCACCTATAAGGTAAGAAATATGATCCTCCTTTTGTAAGTGAGGTAACTAGGACGCAGAATGTTTAAGTAACTTAACTTGCACAAAGTCACATAGGAAATAATCTGTGGATCCAAAAAATTCACCAACTAATCCAGCTCCAAATCATTACACCAAGTTGCCAAAAAGTAACATACTGAACGTGATCTGCAAACCATAAAATCTGCAAATACAAGATGCACTAATTAAGGGCACGTGCTTTGTAGTACGACTTAGTGTCAGGTCTCAAGTCTGTAATTCACTAGCTATGCAAACTTGAGTAAATCACTGAACTTCTCTATGCTTCAATTTTCTATTCTGTAAAGTGGGGATAGTGAAGGAACAGTTCTTACTTCACAGGGTTGTTGGTGGATTAGGGGTGTTATGCATGTAAAGGCTAGCAAAGTGCTTGGCATACAGTAAGCACTCCATGAATGTTCATAACTACCAGCTAATACTAAGAATTCTCTTTATTATCATACACTCTCATTTGAGTACTAGTGGTACTTCCTAAAATAAATTAAATCTATCAATATTGAGTAAGAGTTTAAGAAATTAAGGCCCGAAGTCTCAAAGTATATGACAGCACAATTTTGAGATGGAAAAGGCTACTACTTACTTTAATATCATTATCATTTATTTAAAGTGCCTGGGTATGCATGAAAACGTGCTAGGCACTAAACAAAATGATCAAGACATAGTCCCTGACTTCAAAAATACATAATCAAGTAAATTAATTCTGTTCAGTGGACACAAACAGCAAAACCTCCAACCTTCAGGCATTTTCCAAACCAGATGCATCTATGGTGTTCATTAAGTTCCCCTCTGCTTATGGTGTGATAGTGGTGAATATATGTAGAGAAAGAAATTTGAAAATAAATGATAAACCTGACAAATCAAGTGTAGAACAATAATGATTCAGGAAGAAGTCAGCTGACTTTCCACCCTCTTACCTTCTCAAAAAAAAAAAAGTTTTTAACTATCTTGGTACTAATGATCTCTGTTAATTACAGAAGAAAAAAAAGGAAAGAGCTAGCAGCTCAGAACAGAGGTCAAAAGGAAAGGGTGCAGAAACAGAGTATAAGAGAGGATCCATAGGCTCTTTAAAGCAAACTCAGCAGAACAGCCTGATGACCGTAATAAAGCAATGTAACAAATACATATTCCTAAAAAATGTGAAAGTACTTTCCAACAGTACAAGCAATCTGTGTTAACTGAAAACTTGGCTCACAAATAAAACTAGGCTAAAAATTAAGGATGGGTAATTTATATATTCAAGAATATATACTCTTCAAGGTTTTCTTTCTCAAGTATGGAGTAAAGAAGGGGAAAAAAAGAGACATGAACCCAAAAAATGATTACTGTGCATTCAAGGTATACCTGCATGTTCTAATGAACACCTGCAGTGTCAGCCATACCTCATCCACCTCTCACTAGCACTATGTAAACCTCTAAATTTGAAGTGCAAGCCATACCTTTTACTGTTTCTCCTCTTCCACCACATTTAGGAGTAAAAGATATCTTCAGGAAGGAAGATGGGTCGAATTCTCTAGGAAAACTCTGAACTGATCAAACAGCAGCAAAGGTGGATATAATTTGTAGCCAGAGATAGGTCTTAATATAAAATAAGCAGTTTGATGGTTGTTTACCTGCTTAACTACCCGGCCCTACAACAACAACAAAAAGTGCTATAAACATCTGCTTATATAGACTACATACAGAAAAGCTTCTGGCACTCATTTCTTAGGCCTCTTCTCCTCAAGAGCCTCAAAGCGTGAACCTCTGAGATGACAAAGCTGAAGAGTCGAAATAAAACCAAAAAGTAAGGATGAAGACCAGAAAAGAATAGGAAGAACAAAGAGTTTCTAATCACTTCTTGTTACTTCTACCTTTCTTAACTGGTTCTAGTTTAGTCTCTAACTCTTACATCTGCCATAATCCATTAATTTGGCTACTATGATTAAAATATTCCCTCTAGGCCCTTTCTGAGACAAGTCCTGACATAGTGCTGTTTCTCTCTCTATGACCCTGATTAATCTTTTACAGTGCTTGGAACCCTCAATTCCACCTCCTAAATTCCTTCTCTGTGGCCCTAAAGTTATGACAGAGGAGACAAACTGTGAATGTGCCCGTGGACACAGGTGAGTGAGAGAATTCCAGCAACTGGGCTCTCCTCCACCAACATCAGGCCATTTCTCTTTCTCCCCTACAGTATTTAACAAGTAAAGCAAAAAGGAAAAGGCTGACAAACAGATGAGAAGCTGCAGCAAGGAACTACCCTTAGCTTTTTAGGAATCCTCGTAACTTTCCACTTGTTATAGGTACTTAAGGAAACTATTTTCGGAATATGTCTTGCGTGAAGGAATGCATAAAAGATAACACCTTGCGAGAGTCAAACATACAGGTTTAATAATGTGCAACTAATGAAGATGGTTTATAAATGAAATAACACCTACACATTTAGTTCCCTAAAAATATTAAGCTATTAATCATTAAAGTTAGACCTATTAAGTATAAGTTTTCCATATGTGGAAAAATAAATCTGTTTTTAAATTAAAGAGAAATTATCACTCTAATTCTTAAAAATACAACTATCAGGATAAAATTCAAGTGGAGCTGCTCATAGTCACTGAATAAATTTAAATTTGATAATAAAACATTTAAGTTTCAACCAATGCACCTTTGTTGAAGCACATTTAGCTGAAATAACTTTGAGTCGGGTTTATTTCCATCACATATAGTACATTTTTCCAACAAGAGCATGTACATTCAATATAGAACATTTCCAGCAACAGTTACAGTCTTTCTAGTTTCCTTTCACAGTATATTTTAGTGCAAAGCACTGGGAAGAGTAAATGTTTTTCTAGCTATAGAAGCATTTTATTATGACCTTGTGGATCTTCAACATTTTAAAATTTTATACAAAAAGTATATAGATGGACAGGGTCCCTCCTAAGTACAGGTGTGAACCTATATAAAAAGCATGGTATATTCTCTGCTGTACCTTTTAAAATTATAATTTGACAAAAAATTACTAAAAAATAAAATACTACCTAAAAAGTACAAAATATTGATACACAAAAACCTGCCCAATATTTCATTAAAGATAGATGTACTTCTGTTTTCCCTAAAATCTTGATTACAAAAATGGACAAAAATTCATTATTTTCCAAATTTTACAGTAGGAATCAAATATTATCTAAAGTGGTCATTTAAGATTTTACTTGGGAGAAAAAAAAATCAGGGTTTACACCCCCATCTTCCTTTTTTAGCAATATTTAAAGTATTATAAGTGGTTGTGCAGGGATTGTCTGTATCCATAAAATATCAGTAAGCTATTTACTATCTTCATATTAACCTTAGTAAGTGTGTGGTCTTTAAAAAAAAAAAGCTGAAAAATTAAGTTGCATCTATCATTAAAGTGCTTTGTATAAAATTTAAAGAAAAATAGGGGAATGTTTAATTTTCAGAAAAACCTCAGATGTTTACAAATGAAAAATGTGATGATTCATGGATGAAAATGAACTGGAACTTTCCTGTACTATATATTTAAGAATGAAACTTTCAAACACTTAAGTGCTGGAGAACAAGTTAGAAATAAATGGATGTAAAAATAATTACAAATATTCAGTAGCCTAAATATTTATATGTTGATATTAATTTGTCTTTTGGTCCTAACACTCACTAGGAAATTATGTATCATACAATCCAGACAAAAACTTTGCCAAAGAAAGTGGAACAAAACTAAAATCACTAAGATAAAAAGTCTTTGTTAATTAAAAATCACCAGTGGTGATATTTTCTTCAGGTTGTTGATCGCTTTAATCAACAAATTGTTTGGAAAACAAAGTTTGCAACATTTTTGCAGAAACTGCAGACCAAATACACAAGGGTGGTTAGCTGATGGACTGTGATGACAATGTGTAATGTGACAGCTACCTGAAAGTGCTGGAAGAGGCAGTGCCTTAGAAACAAGTGGTTAGATGGTTATTATTTTAGTCAGAAAACAGCAGTTACAGTCAAATATTTATCAAAATTTTTTCTTTTTTTCCTCATAGTACCATTTGAAGATGTTTAGTGGTTCTAACACCAATTTAAAGTCTTTCCACAAAAATGAACTCCAAACCTTTCCGTACATCACTTGAAGTTATCTGAGGAGAAATGGGAATAAATGAACACTTTTGAGTTTACCAATAAAACCTTGTTTTTAAAATTATACAATAGTAAATGACTTCTAAAAGACGGTTTCATCTCAAGTTTTCCACACAAATAAAAAACTGTGTGATAATCAAACCACGACATTTAACCTACTTAGCATTCAAACTAAGTATATTGCTTTAGAACCTGAATCCAAAACTAAGAACTAGTTAAATATATTAAATGCCTTAATACAAGGGACACAGGTACTGAAGGTAAACTTTAAAAATATAGAGAGACTTGCAAAAACAAGTACAGGGGTCTACTCTTTATTTTATATTGCATTTTAAAAATCTATATTTGTTCCAAAACCCTCTAAAAAAAAGTAGTACTTTTTTCTTTCTTCCCTATAGGGAATTTACTTTTCTTGCAACACACAACCACAAAAAAAAAAAAAAATCCCTACTTAATAATATTCACTATGTTGAAATGATCACCAAAAGTTTATTTAAACAAAAAGGTAAAAATAAGAGGATTTGGGACCTAAATAATCACTTTTTCCATAGATCAAAACTAAAAACAGTAACTAACACATACTCCCAAGGAGAATGAAAAATAATCCAAACTTTTATCAAGTTTCCCCTTTTGCCTGGAAGCACTATGTTAAACGTAAATAATAAATGCTAATCATTCTAAATTCAATTTGGGGATTTTTTTTCTGAGTGCAGCACTTTATTTAGCTGTCACAGATTAATTTTTACAATAATTACAGTGCCTCAAAATACTTTTTCCTATAATTATCACCTTCACAAATTCATTCTAGTATATTTAACTTTCCTACAATGTGTTAATTAGTAGACTAAGTCACTGAATCAAATTAAACCTGTGCAAAGTTAGTTAAACAGAAGACTTCTATTGTAAACATAAGCCAATATAAATGTATGTATTTTACAACATTGAGAGGAAAGCACTGACCCTGTGCCATCTACCTATAACTACATTGCATCGTCCTGTGGAAGATAAGTTCTGCAGTTAACTTTTGTTCCCAAGCCACTGGAATAAAGGTCACTGAAGAGGTAAATGCAATATGCACATCACTCTTGCAGTTCCCACTGCCATAAGATATATGGAAGCAAACATGTGTTAAAATGGAACCAGCTATAAATTATGGTCAAATGATTTTTTTAGTTCGATGGGGGGAAAAAAGCAAAACTCTGTAACTGTTCCTCACCAGACAAGAGCCTTAGATCTTGTACTTCGGCCTTTGGTTTTGTTTCCTTCAGGTGAATTGGAAGCATTTGCCTTATGAGTTTTCTTATGATGTTCAAGATAAGTCTTTTTGGCAAATGCCTTTCCACATTTATTGCATCTGTGAAGAGAAAAGTTTTTTGTGACTTTTACTTCAATACCAACGTCAGCTACTTCATACTTTTTACTAGGAGAGTCAGAAGTGCCATCATGTTTTGAATCACTATGTTTTGCTTCATCCCTCGAAGGGCCTCTTTTTGCCACTTTATTGAGAACAAAATCAATGGGCTTTTTTATAGCTCTGATCTCTAAACTGGCTGTTATTTTCCCAAGATAACGGGATGACTTTTTATGAACCACAGTTATATGTCGTATCACATCACGCTTCCGACGAGTTTCGTAAGTGCAAAGAGGACATTTGTAGAATTTAACGTAAATGTTATTCCCATCTGTGTGCAATTCAATGTGTTTAGTCAAGTTCTGTTTGGAAGTAAACTGACGTTTACAAAGTTTACAGTAAAGTTGCTTAAAGTCAAAGCCAGCTGAAAGTTTTGGTTTCCTGGTTTTCTGCTGGCCACCTGCAGCAGACGGACTAGTTGATTTAGGGCTTTCAGAGTCTTGTTTAACTTTATTTTTCTGTGCTGCCGGTGTGTTCTTTTTTTCATTTGAATGATTTGTTCCCTTTAATTCATTCTGTGGAGAATGGGTAATGGAAGGGGGTGAAGATTCTACAGAATCTGCTGGTTCAACTTTAACTTTTATTTCTGAACTGTTGGCAGTATTATTGGGGCCTTTCTCTCTTTTAGAGTTTGTTCCAGAAAGAGTTATCTTGTGGACAATTTGCATATGTCTTTTAAGCATTATTTGTGAACTATATTTCCTCTTGCAAAGAAGGCATTTGCATGCAGTTAAATTGTATTCAGCCTTTGAAGACGACTTTTGTTTTCGAGTCTTAAAAGATTTTTTAGGAGAAACAGAATCCAGGAACAAAGGTTGCCCAGGCTTTGTTGCTATATCAGGAGTAATTGAATCCCTCCTTAGTCCTCTATGAACTTCATCAAAATGCCTCCTTACATTCGCTTTTGTAGCAAATGATTTACAACATACTGGACAACTCCTACTTAATGGAACTAGAACATTCTTACTGCGTCCTTTAGAGGACTGGTTTGGATTCTTTCGTGTTTCAATGTACTTTTTTAGTTCTTCCATCTTTTTCTTGTGTACTTTTCGAATGTGACGACGAACACCTCGTCTGGAATTGAATTCTTTTCTACAAAGACAACATATCAACTGGTGACCAAAATCAGAATTGTCAGACGTTTCCAAGTCAGCCTGTGATTCCTGAGGTTGTTCATCAGGTGGAGGTGCAACTTCATCTGCAACAATCTCAACGGGAGGGGGCTCTACAGTTTCCACCTCTGTGTCTGTAACTGGAGCTGTTTTAGACTGTTCAGTACTACTTTCTTGTATTTGAACTTCAGTCTGCTCAGGAGTACTGCTTGACTCTGTGACTTCAGTAGGATTATCAGTCCTTGAAATATATTGAAACACTGCATTTTGATTAGTTTCTATGGGTTCTAGCTTAATGATATATTCTCGCTTGTCCACACTTGGATATATGGCTTCTAGGAGATCGTTTATGGCTTGGCTTTGTTTATCATTTACATCAGGAAGGTCTGTTAAGGAAAAAACAACATTTTAATCTGAAATAATTAGCCTGCTCTAGCTCTCTAATACTTTTAAATGTATTATGAACCTCTGTCTTAAAATTTATTATATTACTGATTTGCACTTATTTTTATACGTGCATTGTCTACTTTTCAGTACTTTATGAGGCTAAAAACTAGTATTAATTAAACCAAAATGTGCTTTAATTTAAAATCTCATCATGGTACACAAATGTTAAGAAACAGATGCAATCTGGAGAGCTAAGTCTAATCTAAAGGCCTTTAATATAAAATACTTAGGCACCTGGGTATCCTAAACAATAACATTTTCATATTTTCAGTCCAAACTTTTTAGGCTAGCAAAGGCAAATCAAGGTTCTCAGAACTCAAGATGAAAAAAAATCATGAAAAATGTTACTGCATGTAAAAATAATTTTTTTAGAAAACATAATAGCATTCCTATTAACTTAATCCATAATGAATAATCTAGTATAATTGTATAGGGACACCTGAACATCTTACAGGAAATGAAAAAGAAAGATTTACAGGAAAAATGTGTAAACATGAATCACATGATCGTCATGTACAGAAGTGTCTGCTTAACTCAGTCCTATTACATGCCTTCTTAGCAGGGCACAATTTTATTATAACAAATGATTAAAAACTAGATTTATTCCAAAAACAAAGCTAGTTTTATTTACTTGTGCAATAATTACACCCTCTAAGCAACCTAATATTCCTGTTGTAACAGTTGTCTAACACTGGTTATGTTTCTAAATACAATGCTAAAACCTAGCTATAAATACAGCATCAAAAAATCTGACATCTACTTAGAAATCAAGAAATGACTAATTACAGCTCTACTAGTCTACTCATCTTTCTTTTTAATAGATGAAGTAGTGTCTATAAGAAGAAGAACTCTTTCATAAAAGTATTTCTAGAACGAGTATTGCAAAGAAGAGTTCACAATAATCCAGCAAATCCATTCACTTATCTCCCTCCCTCTACAATTCAACTAAACTTCAGTCCACACTAAAAAACAACTACTAGAAAATGAACTTCCTATTAGTTCTTTAATTAGGATGTTAGATTTGAAACTAATCTCTATAGACTGCCTTTTCATTTATATCTCAAGGATAAAAATAAGTACAGTTAAGATCTAACAGTGGTAGGAAAAGTTTCCAGACAAATATGAAATTTTTGTTTCATCTATGTCCTGCAATATACTTTAAATCAGTTTCATGCTAATAACTAAAGCAGTGCTTTTGATATTTGAGGTTTTGCATTCCATTCTCATCCCAAAAAGGTTAAGTTTAAAAATGCACAAAATCCACAATGCAACTGTAATATCAAAATGACAAAATAAGTACTATATTTTGTAAGTCCACAAAGAGTTAAATCCCTGAACAAGAAATAATGAAAGTAACCCACTACTTATTACAGTATGTTAAGGAATTTACACTAGTTCTTTAAAGCAAGAAAATAATACATTACATATACTGAACTTAATCATACAGAGACCATACACTTAATTCAGCATACACTTGGTTCCAAAAAGACTTTGTTAGCCTACTACCTGCCTTCAGATCTCAAGCTAACACAAACTAATTTCTAATAAAATGATTTATCTAAGACATTTCACTGAGAATAAAACTGATCTTCAAATCAAGACCCAGAAAACACTAGAAAGAATAACAAATATTTTTTAATGTTCTCTGCAGTTCCCTCCAAACTAACTCATTTACTCATCCTTTGCTCTATTTTAAACCTTCTCATTTACTTAAGGAGAATCTAAGTAAATAATGAGTCATATTTGGCAACAAGTTGTTACATTCATATAAACATTCAAAACCAATATCCAATATTTTAATACAAATAAATATACTTATAAATCTAATCTTACATGTCTTTAGTAAAATCCAAATGAAAAACACTAATATGAAAATATTTAAGAAACTGAATGTAATATTGAGTCAAGAATTTTACTTTATTCTCCATCACTAAATTATCTGTAACTAGGTACCAATACCATTTTAACACAAATGCATAGTTGTAGTATAAAAATACACAGTAAAATGCATAACTGAATATATGAAGAAAACTTACTGTCATCCATCTGGAGACTTGGTGGGCAGTAGAATTTTTTATGGGTGATTAAATTTGGTAATCCTCTGAAGAGACTGCGGCATAATTTACATTCAAAAATAGTATCCACATCTTTTAATAAAATATGTTTAAGTTGTTTAGTTCCTGAGGGAAAAAAGAAAAGAAAATTTAACACAAAAGGTAACTCTAACATGTACTTTTAAAATGGGTAACTACTGTTGACAATCCAAAAACAATCTTCAAAAACAAATACAGACACTGCAATTTCTACCACGCTATACTCAGAACTAAGTTACAAGCTAAGTTCTAAGCAAAATCCTACTATCATTTGGGTATTAGGACAGCTGAAATTAGTGGTCTTTTTCTAATTCAGGAGCCATCAATTCCTGAGATATCTTAACAATGGTTCCAACACCTGGTTGATCATCACAATGACCTGGGAATAAAGATGTACAAGATCCACTCCTGGAGGTTCTGATTCAATAAACCTGGAGTGGGGGAGAAGAATTAAATGCCACCCTCACTGAAGTTTTGGTCTGGTTCTTCCAGCTCTCTTTTGCATTAAGAAGTGAACACGAAGTAATACATTTCCCTTGATTTCTTAAAGAAGGTCACAACTGTGCCACAGGATTGTCTGTGACTTTCCTTTTAAATTATCACATTACTTCAGGTTCTGGGCCAACATGGGATTATAGCCATTTAGTGTGATAACAGAGAATCCTTGTCCATGGTTTTGAATTTTGCTTAGGCCTCTTAATACCACTAGAAATTTATTCAAAGCCTTTCTCTCTCACCCTAATTGCAATTAATATTGATATAATTACTAGTTTAAAGCCTGTCTTCTCAACTAGATCATAAACTCCAAAGCAGCCAAGACCAAGCCTGTCTTATTTACAGCTACAAAGTGTTCAGCTCTAACAATGCTCAATAAATATTCGTTGAAGAAATGACACTGATCAAGGGAATCTGAGCATTATGACAGTAGATCAAAAGGCAGAGAAAAAATAAATGGTAACAAGTACTCTTTAAAAATCTTTAAAATAAAAACATCTACCAGGAATAAAACACTAATGGAAGGTCTTCTGTCACTACTTCCTACAGTCTTTGACACAGGTAAACTAACAAAATTGATCTGCACTGTGAACTAATCAATGAGCCTTGTAAAAAAATGATTAATACTGACTTAGAGAGGAAAAAAAATTAAAGAGGAAAAAAACAAGTGTCTTGAAAAACACCTTTAAGGCTAGGTACACCGTGTTCCACCATTCAACAAGCATTAGACTACTAAACTCTGGGACTACTAGAGAATAAACTCAATCTCAGTAGCATAATTAGTATTGTAGGGTACATAAAAGTTAAATATTTCTGATTCAATCTTTTGCAATCTGTTTACATTTAATTTTTGTATTAACCACCATTTTCCATTTTATCATCATTTTGAAGACAGGTCAGCCCTCAGAATTCTTTTTTTTCCTTAATGGAGTTCCTAGGGATTGAACGTCCACTAAGCACACGCTCCACTACTGAGCTATATCCTCTCCCCCAGCCCTCAAAATTCTACTGCAAAAAGATTATCAGGTTATCAGAACTTTCCTAAGTCTTTAGAGATTCCAATTCTGATATTATCTAGTTGTGTGACCTTAAAGAGCTATACAATCTTTGCACTTCGGTTTATCCATCTTAAACAAACAAACCAAACCAAATTTATCTTGGAGAATTATGAAAGAAAATGTGAATCTAAATTCCAGAAGAATTAAATTATACATCCAGGTTTCTACTGAGAAAAAATATATATAAATAGTGAAATAATTTCCCTAAATCCAATTCAAGGTTTGAACCACTAGATCATATTACTACAAAATCAGAAAACGTAAATTTTTAAAAATTTAAAAATTCAGATGATAACTTAGGTATTATTCTTTATATAAAAGTACGTTCACATACATTTCCTCGTAGTCCATTTCGCATTACCAAATACACTGGCAATAAACTGCTAATATATTTAGTTTACAGTTAACCTCGTAAGTGACTCACAAACTATGAGAGATAAGCTGATGATAAAAAATACTTTAGATGAACCTCTCTAACTGACCTACATATAGTTTTCAGTAAGTGTAGGTCGGTGCATTACCAGATGGAAGAAAACATACGAAAATTTTGCACACTTTAATTCTAAATTGAAAGACCAGTTAGACCAATTCTACAATTTAATTCTGCCTTTAAAGATAGTTTAAAAGGACTGAAAAGGGACACGGAAACAACCTGAACTTGGTTTAACTTAAGAATTCTACTAAGATCTAAATAGAAATTATAACATGAAGTTACACATAAAAAAGTTACTTGTAAAAATTTAAGACTGCATCCCTAAATCAAACATATCAGGTTCTCTTAATCAATCATAAGAAAACAAAAACAGTACCAATTTCTCATTTAGTCTTAGTTACAGAGTTAGTTATATTCAGTAAAGAGTGTATATTTATTTCCAATAAGCATCCAAAAAAAAATTGGCTCTAATCTTGACTAATCAACCTTAATCATCAATCACAAATGCTGCACCACCCTCATGCCACCTACACACATGCACACATACAAACAGTTGTGCTGACCCAGGCATACCAAATTTCCTTTAGGTCCTTGGATTCACCAAATTTTCTCTCACTCACCTTTCAGGACTTCACCTATGTTTTTTTCTCTCTGCCTATAACATTCTCCCATTTCCCTGGTCTGGCTTATTTCTAGTAATCCTTCAGATTCCAGGTTAGATGTCACTTCCTCCAAGAAGCCTTCTCAGAACCCTCCTGTTTTTTTTGTTAAGAATTCATCCCCTATATTCCCAGAGCACCTTATATATCTATATTATCCCGCCATCTTATAATTAGTTACTTTTCTGTATCCCCATTAAACTGGAACCTCTAAAAGGCCAGAGAAGATAATCTTTAATACTCATCACTGTATCTCAGCATTCAGGACCATGCCTGATGAGCATTTGTTAAATGACATATTGGAGAGTCCTCCCTATGTTTAAAAACTTCCCTATAAATAAGATTTTTTTAAGTCAATGTAAAGTTGACTGCTAAGTTAAAAAAGGGACCTGAAAGGTTTTCCAATTCTGCTTACATATTTTACAAATGAGAAAAATAAGATGTGCCCCCATTCCATAAATACAGACAGAAGTTTTTTCCTGAGTTAGTTTCAGTCACCCTTTAAGGTTTTGTTGTTTTTCCCATGGGATATAATGGCTTTATTCTAATCAACTATCATTTTCTGATTGCTTCGCTCACTTAACGATTAGATACAGCCAACTAACTGTGCCTCTGTCAATAGTTAAAACTTTCTATAATTTGAAACAGCAGACAAGATCATTCAAACAGCAACAAAAGTTCTTCCACAACTCTTAACTGTGAGAGACAGCCATGCTGCCTTACTCCTAACTATTCCTTTCCCTCTATTAATAACTCTCTTTCTTGCCTTAGGTTTTTAAATTATCTTAGACGTCACACGTACTGCTACACAGATCATTAATCAGTATCTTTCAAAAAACAAGCCCTCCAAAGAGAAGGCTTCTGATGCCTAGAAATTAACTAATTAATGAGTATTTCAGATTCTCGCACATAATGGGTGCTCGATAAAAGTTAAACCTCATCAAGGGTTTATCCTGTGCTATCAATTAATGTCAAACACATTGTACATACTGATAAAAATGTTTAAAAGATTTTTTTCAAAAGGAATCAGTATTCAATTTTACATTAGTTTGGATGGCAGTCACCTGACATAACGTAATTCTAACTCCTCTGTGCTAGACAAAGATAAGTTTTCATTTTTCTCCCTTAATATACTGATATGTTGGTCAATGGCCCTTTTAAGTTGTGGCAATAATGATTTTTAAATGATATACTGCTTGCTTTATTCTTGACTCACACTTAAGTTCAGTTTCTTGAGGATGACTGTTTAACCACAATACTATCTCAACACTGCAAGCAAATCTGTAATTCCTGTCACACCTCCTGAGTTCCAAGACAGGTATGAAGGAAATTTCTAACTGATCATCTTTAAGATAAAAAAATTAAGAAAGTTGAAACTGTTATTATAAAACCACCACCTACAAGGGGTGGTTAAAAAAATTACTAATTATGGAACACTGTCACATACTAGAATAAATTTATAAGTAGAATATTATTTTGGTGCCCAACTAGTGAGTCTTGATTAGTCTAACACACATTTATTTAATACCTATTAAGTACCAGGTACAATGTTATTCATGGAGACATGAAAGTGAAGGATAAGATATGTGCCCCTGAGACAGTCCCAGACTAATATAAATGGCTGCTCTCCTAGGAACATAGCCCCAGATGACATGCTTTGAGGATGAATGTAAGAACAAAAAATAAAACAAATAAATCTAATTTTTTTTATTCATCCCCAAAATATCCAGTCTAACTTTAAATTTCTACAACTGCTATGTATCATCAACAACAACAAAAAATCCCCGTCATATAATATGGCACTCTTTTATGTATCTCTAATAAATCATACTTTCATCCCAAGTTTTTGTGTATAGAGTCAGGACTGAGGCATCACCAACCAGTCACAGCTTACACTAACTGCAAGAAATGTTGCTTTAAGCAGTAAAAAAACAAACAGTCTTCTAAGAAATTAAATGACCAAACTTAAATTTAGTTAGATAATGACATAGCAAACATCACACAAAGCCAATTCTCATTTTTCACTATAATTTATTCCTCCTTAAGATTCAAAAAAGATGCTGTTTCTTGCACACAGTAGTAGTGCATTCTATAGGCAGCAGCCTTTTTCTATAATACAGTTGACCCTTGAACAAAAACAGGAGTTAGGGATGCCAACCCTTCACGCAGTCAAAAATCCACAAATAACTTACAGTCCTCCTTAAACTCACTTCCTCCATATCCTCAATTCTGCATCCGCAGATTCAACCAACTGAGGATCGTCTGATACTGTAATATTTACTACTGAAAAAAATCAGCATATTAACGGACCTGCACAGTTCAAACCCATGTTGTTCAAGAGTCGACTGTATAATATTGTAAAAAGAAATAATATATATTTTAAGAATTCAAAAAAAAGATGTCAACTTCATATTAAAGACCAGTTTTGAATATTGGACAAAATGATTATCCTTCCATTTTCCCATTTTTCTGTTTCTAACTTCAGGGCATTCCACAGCTAATCTGTCTCTACCAGAAGACTAAGAAAGAATATTAAGCTCAATTAAGTCAATTTTATAAATATCTCATGGAAGTACACCTTTTTTCGTTATTTAAAATTTTCTTTCCACTTGGGGCCAGAAGTTAACAGAAAAAAGTCAATATAAAATAAGGAAATTTGAAGACAGAGAGTCACAGACATAATCCTAGAAGGACTAACACAACCAAGAAATGACTCCAGCAAAGGGCAGGGCACACTCAAGGTAGGACCTGAAGCCAGGATTCAGAGCAAACACCTACAGAAAATCTGTAGGTGGGGCAAAATAGGTAGCCTTCTAAAAAAATGAGGTATCTATCCATGGACAGATAGATGTCAAACAACAGTGGAAAGTACTATTAAAAAAAAAAGGTACTTAACTATGCAGAATCAGCTACTGTCTGTATCAGGAAGAAAGTGAGGGCTATATGCTCATGTATGTTTAGAAGGTCTCTGAAATAAGATACATACTCTGTAGCAGTGCTGCCTGTGCAAAGAGACTTATTTCTGTTTTTCTGTATATCCTTTTATACTTCTTTACTATTATATTTTTAAATTGCGGGTACATATTACTTATTCTAAAAAGAAAAATCAATTCAAATTACAAGTCAAGCAGATGGAAACAAAGAGAGATCAGAAGTCAAAAAGTATGTGTAATTTAAAGCCAGGAAAACAGTCCAAAGCAAAAGCTGAAGTGTGAAGCAAAGAGAATGGGTCAAAATTGGTCAAGCAGTCAGTGTAGCACACATGGGGTTGGGAGGCCTAAAACTGTGTCAACTCCTTTCTTTAGCATTTCATAAACTCCCAGCTTGGGCAGGAATTAATACCAGTCATAGACAGCTAGCCCTGTGTAGGCATGAGGTGGTAAATCTCTTAAATAGAGCTGATACAGGAGATGAAGACAAGTATCTGAGCTTGAAGATAAAGGCAGCTATCCTAACACATTACTACTGCCCAACCTGGCTTAGCTGCTGAAGGTTAACAAGAGCAAAAGCACAGACTTCGAAGCTCTATCTTCAAATATCTGTCAGATATAAAACACCACAAGAATAGTTCTTTAAATGCTATGTGTGTGAGTGTGCGACCCAGCTGTAATGGAAAGAGCCTAGAAAGAAAAGAGTCATCATCGAAAGCCTGCTTGGGAGCAGAGTGAGACTGGGAGAAACTTACAAGATGAGAAGGGATCTCAGACCCTAAGACATGTGGCCCAAACTTCCATCTCATCCTTCCAAGGTCTCAGTCAGCCAAGGCTTAAATACCTCAGTGTTAAAGAAGAGCTACCTTAGGAAACTTGAGATTATCCAGATATGTAAGAGATTATTATCTTAAGGAAATTAAAATTACTTAGTTATGAGATATACCACACTAATGAAGTAAAAAGAATTCCTTCTTTAACCCAAAATTTGTTTCTTTGTACTATTCAGCATATTTCTAAATCATCTCTAATTTAAACAACTGGGTACTTAGAGAATTTAAATTACAGTATTTTCAAAATTTGCCTTTAAAAAAAAACTCAGAGGGCCAATTTGGTGGGGACATTTAAGAAAGAACATGCTACCCGTTTCACAGTCCCTTTATCTTCAGACAGTAAGAAAAAAATGGCAAACACAGAAAACAGATATGACCATAGTGCAATGAGAAAACCAGTAATTCCATTTTTAAATATTCAACTTCCAACGCTTAAAAAAAATACAGATTTTGGGTACAGGATCTTGTTGAAAGGTATTTTTTACAAGACAAAGCATGAATGAAAGAACCAATTCTAACTTCTTAATCAAATAACACTATAATAAACTGAAGCAGTATAAAACAACTTCATTAATTCCAAGTTATGAATTTTTTAAAGAGATACCTATACCAAGGAATATGACTAAATGTGAAGCTATTATCTTCATTTCCATAATATGAGAAAGAACAAACAGAATTTTTATCTCTATATTAAAAGTAGCTAACAGAAACTCTTACTACAAATAAAAACTAACCATTCTTCTATTATGCCAGAAACATACTTAAATACTGCCTCTGATTAGTAAAATTTTAATTGTATTTACCATAGGAGAATTTGACCTGTCAGTTATTTCTATTAACCAAGGGCAATTATCAAAACAAAACACAAGGTAAAATAGGTTATACCACCATCCAACATGAGCACAGGCATACAGTATACACATAACACTTACTGATTTAAATAGACATAAAAGTAATGCCATGAGGACTATAGATTAAAAGTGTAAGAAATGAACCTTAGAGTCAGAAATAAACTTTTTATTTTAGATTAAGGAACAATCTATTTCTTAGAATCCTAAAATAAATTAAATATATGCTATTTCCCTTTACAATGATTTTAAAAAAGCATCTCAAAATACTTCTCATCAATACAAAACAAGTGGTTGCATATAAATTATCTTTTCCTTTGAATCTGAGAAATTTTTCATTAAGATGTAGTAAGCTTTAAAATAACAAAAAAATTCTAATCCTTTAAGTGTCCACCAATTAGATGTCCATTAGTTATGTGTATTTATTTGCTTGTTTATTTTGCCTTAACAGTCTGCAGTGTCAGAGAAGCCAAATCTACAAGAGGTGGACAAGCGGATGACAAAAATCACAGCAATCCACGATCTTACTGATAACACAGGAGTTCTAGCAGTTCTCCATCCTTTATATGTAGTGAGCAACACCTATTTTAAAGCACTGCATTGCAACTGCACAAATATCCTTAGTATACATCCCTTACTACAGTAATCTAATAGAAAGAAAAGCTAAACAAATGTATCCGAAGATACCAGGGCTAGAGTGAGACTTTTTTCTGTCTTGTCTGTTAAAAGATATTGAAACTCCAGGCTTAGGTAGGAGAGGGTGAGTCACATAAACAGACATGATAAAGTAATTAATCTAGAACAAGGGACATCTCAGACATTCTGAATAAATAATCTACTCTGCCAAAGCTCATTAAAACCCTGTATAATTTACTACTGCCCTTTGAGAGTTTATAAAGAACATGTCAAAAAATAACAATGACTCTTAAAGAGAAAGAGCTACTTTACCAGCAGATATACCACATATTTCTTTAAACCATATATCTTTAAAATATATTTTAAAATTTAATATATAACATATAGTACTGGAAAAGAATGTCTAATCAAGTCAATATTTATTCATCCACTTTTTAAAAATAACAAAAGTATTCTATAAAGAAAACCAATGTATATATTTTATTTTTTAAAATTATTTCCAAGGATTTCTAGGTAGTTTTTAACTACTATGTGACGATTGAAAATACATCCTAAGACAATCATACCTGATCGAAAGCACTCAATTATTTGTTGAATACCAGATTTGGATGTCTGTAGTGGTTGCTGTAACAAAGGAGCATCTCCAGGTTCCAGGATATAAACTACATGGAAAACAAACACCCACCCCAATCCCCACAAAAAAAATGGTTATTTAAATCATTTACTATTGAAGTAAAACAATAGTTTGCTATAATTACATTAATGACAATCATACATTTTTGTATAAATTTCACCATCATCTTTATAAGGCAAAATAAAATAACAGGGAAAAATAACTAAAATTTTTCTGAATTCAAGGTGAAATTAAGGTAGTAAGATTATGTATTAAATTCAAATGCAAAAATCTTACTATTTTGGCATTATTATGTACATATTAGTCATGTTTGCCTTTTTATTCCCCTTGAAGAGGAACTACAACATTGAACCAAAATTCCAGGGCAATGATAACTTAGCCACACCTCATAAACCATTCCAAAAACCATCCCACTCTGGACAATCTAGTACAGCTCCCTGGGCAATTATGAGAGCAAAACTCAAAAACCACTGCCTAAAGAAAGAACTGGCCAAGTGCACAGTGGTAGATGTGCAAGAATGTTCACTGCAGCACTTGCAGCACTGTAAAGAACTGAGAAAATTTCAGACAACTTAAAAATCTCTCAAAAGGAACCAAATAAATTATGACATATCCACACAATGAAATCCCTCATGGCTGTTACACAGCATGAGCTAGAGCTATATGCACTGACAACAAAGGATGTCAATAACACACTGTTAAGCAGAAAACAGGTTATAGAATATGATCTCAATTTTATTAATATATATTTCAAAAGCTACAGAAAGAAAAGAAATTTCATGTATATGTGCGTCTATGTATAAATGTTAGTATAAACACAAAAAGTCTGATGGGATACCAACAAAACAAAGGTTCTTTCTGTCAGGGTGGGTTTGTTTATACACGGCTGATTTTCACTTTCCGCCTCACACTTCCCCACCTTGGGGTTTTGGAAGTGTGCTTTTTAGAAAGAACGCTTTATTATAAGTTAAAATAATATTCCCACTTTAAAAACTTTTCATTTTCATACACAGAGGTCTATATCATCCCTGCTTTCCAAAATTCTCAGATTAACAGTATAAATACACATAAACTAGATTCTGGTAATAAGAAACAGGTAACTGAAAAGGAAAACTGAGTTCTCCATCAGGTATCAAATAAGGAGACAGTTGTGGTGGAGAAAAACCAGTCACCTTACCTCTTTTTTCGATATGTTACAACGTTTTACCATCATAACCCAAGATCATCTGCTCAATGTGAGGAGATAAGGAGGGGTTACCTCAGTGCTGCTACTGCTTCATGGCCTGGGCTTGGAGTGCATTTAGCTGTCTGATAAGGGGGAGAAAGACTGCTATGCTATATGTATAGACACAGCCTGAGATTCTCTTTCAGGCTTCTGTTCTTAAGTTCAGTGCACACAAATGGGAGGAACTATGTCTCAGGACCAAATCATTCCATTAAGTAAAATTTTCCCAATTTTAAGAGACAGTTTGGGATATTTTAAAGAACATATACATGAACACAACTCATTTTGAGGACATCTGACATTGGTACTAACTGCAGTGATTAAGAACAGAAGACTCCAGACCTGGACTGACTGCACTGAAATTTTTTTCTGCCATTTACTAGATACAACTAGGGCAAATTACACTCTCTGATCTCTCCATTCTCATCCCTAAAATGGGGATAATAAAAGTAAATGATACAGTTGTGTGAGAATTCAATCAGGTAATGCAGGTAACTGGTTAAATTAGAGCCTGGGATACAGGAAAGGCTCAATAAATGTTCTATCACAATCACCATCATCTACAAATCAACTGGTCTCCTGAAACCAAAAACTGAAGAAATCTTTTCCAAAATCTAAGAGAAGCACAATTCAATCCCTTAGAGAAACAACAGCAGAAGTTTGTAAATAGACTGATGATATCATTTATTTGGATTAGATGGATCTCTTTCCAGTACTTGTACATTATAACAACCAATAACTGACTACAAAAAATAATAACTACAAAAGATAGGCTAGAAATTATACAATTTCAAAGAAGAAAAAAAGCTCCAAGGTCTGGCTCTGTAAGTGGCAAAAATTCTAGACAGGAAGAACGAAAAAAAAAAAAGTAATAACTAAGGAAGGAATATGGGAAAAAATGGAAACTTCTCCTTAGAGCCCCCTTTCCTCATTTAGGTTCATGCTCCAGAAAACTTCCTATAATACTCTTCCACTTCCACATGACAACATCTGATTTTAAAGCTAGAGCAAAATTTTGTTACCCATCACCATCACTGCTACCACCAAAATAAACATACATCCCAAGACACCATTCAAAATAACCCCAGGGTTGGTTTAGTTATGAGTGGACACATTCATTTGGTATACACATCTGTGTAGTTCCCACTGTAAGAAACTATTCTTTCTTCCTTTGAAAACATACTTGTAACCCTAAAAAAAAACTTTCTATGTTAATATTTTATGAAATTTCTTCTTACATATCCTATAAGCCCTCCCAAGATCAGGTTACATGACCACGTAGAAAAAAATAGCATCTCCCTCCAGCCAAAAATCACAAATGCTCAGAAGTTAACATCTTTCTTTACATCCTCCCAAGAACACACTTTCAAGTATAAAATGTCCACTTTTCCAAGGATCTCTGCTACCTTAAAACAAGTCCCTTAAAGAGTCTTCTACCTATGATGTCGGGGATTTCCTTACAAATAATAGAGGTTGAGGGAGCAGTTGGAGGGTGAAGAGAATTGTGGGGAGGGGAGAATATAGATGAAAAGAGACTGTCCACATATTGATAACTGATGGAGTTGTGTTACAACAAGTTCCTTATACTAGTCTCTCTACTTCTGAATGAAAATTTCTATAATCAAAAACTTTCTTAAAACATAACTAAAAACAAACTTACATACACTGACAGGCTTATAAAACCACCCTTCGCTACAAACTGATCCATCCTATCAAGGAACACACTGAGCTCATTCAGGAACTCAACTCATAATCCAAAGGAGGACAGGCCTCTCAGGAGAGCCCATTAAAAGAACTTCTCAAACATCATGTGGTCTTCTTCCCTCCATCTGAGGGCATCCTCTTTTAAAAACTACCATAACATTGTCCTCTCAATATTGGAAACATCCTCCCACTTTGGCACACCCTTCCTCTGAAATAATGATGATTAACTACCCCATAAGTTAAACTTCCAGCTTTCTACTGAGCTAAATCCTCAAACAGTGTTTAATTCTAGCTAAAAAACCAAAGAAAACACCAACTACTTTCGACCTGACGGTCTGAAAAATAAACTGCATGGGAAAGTTTCTGGAAAAAGAAAGCTGAAATTTTTAAATTAATGCAACTTATCTGACTTCGTGTTAATGAGGGAGAAAAAAAGAGCAGAAAAGTCCCAATACACACTTAAAAGTTCAACTCTGGACAACCTCCTTAAAAGGACATTAAATTCTCTACAAAATTTTAATTACCAGCATACACTAAATAAGGTATGGTCACAAATAACCTTATTTGTTTACCTGTTTATCTCTTCCCACTCAAAAGTTCCACAAGGGAACGAGCTTATCTGTTTTGTTCACCACTTATATCCCCATTGCCCTGAACAGTGCCTCGCACCTAACAGGTGCTTGATAATGATTTGTCAAAGAAATAAAGGAATGAACAAGTAAATTTCTTCCTAATCAAGATGTTTTGATAAGATGATTTAATTAATTCAGCTTAAATGACTTGAAGTGTTCTGAGAAAAAAACTAACAAAAAGTCAGTGGAACATAAGCATAAAATATATTCACAGCTTTCTACTTCAAAACCAGCAAATTCCATTCAATATTTGGTAAAATTAAAGTGATAGAGCTTCACTTCAAGTACAGAAAATACACAGTAGAAAGGGTACAGAAAATACACAGTAGAAAGGATGGTTAAAAGTTAGGTAGGTCAGGGAGCAGCTGAATACACTGGATTCCATCCTGGAAGTGCCTGTTTTATTATGAGAGGTATTACTTTCAGCAAATTAGGGGATAGGGTTATAGTACAAAAGTTATTCTCATCCATACTGAAGTTTTCTGAAAATAGTTCTTCCCCTTTATCATTGCCATTTTTCCCATTAATCAAAAAACTACTTTAATTGAACCCTACTATGACAAACCCAATTACGTTAGTGCAGTTAAAAATCAAGCAAAGTATTAGAAAGCCCTAATAACTTTTAGGTCAAAAATAATGATAAACAACTGCCTCTAAACTAGAATAGAATAATAGCCTTTAGTTGGTTTAGTGGCAATGTGTATTCAAGAACTCCTCTTCAAGCTGTACCTCTAAATGTCTGTTACAAAGCACATCAAACTTTGATTTTTTTATTTTGCAATACAGTGTGTTCTGCCCAAGAAGTTTCTTTAAGAGGTCGCACTTAGCAAAACCTGTTTCTCCCAACAAGTTAAGTTTAACAAACTTTTTTTAGCCCAAACAAAACTCATTTTTAGGTTTTCAGCACTATTTAAGCATGAGAAGCTTCCAGTTTTTAAAAGTCTGAAAGAAACAACTTTCACAAAGATTAATGCTAGTATTCTACTATCCATTTTTCCCCTTCTCTTCAGTTTTAAACATTCACAAAGCTTGAGGGTTATACTACTAACTGCAGGCTGCCTTGAAAGAGAAGGAAAAGGGATTGAGTGAGTGATCTTGTGGAAAAGACTGAAGGTGACACTTGCAGTACTTTTTTTAAGGGATCAAGTTGGGGAGACCTCTTGTTTGTACAAGTTTTTAGCTTCATAACTGGTTTTATGCTGGGGAAAATTATAGCTTGCTTAGTTAAGAATGACTTCTTGGGCAGGAGGAAAAAAACACTAGAAGAAAACAGATGGCAGAGTGGCTCTGATGCACGGCAAAGTAACTGGAGAAGAAAGGGGTGTACCTGGTTCACAGCATCCGTGATGATGGTGGTCAGTCTGACAGTATTTGTCCCTTAAAGGCATTTTCAGTGGGCGCGACCTACTTTCCTTTCACTGTAAGAAGCTCTTCATTGCGGCTTGGCTGTTGAAAGAAGCACAAATCCGTCACTCACCCTGAACTTCCTGGGGGGGCTCTGGCTGCATTTTCCAGAAACGTTCCCTTCACCCGCCCTCAGCTTTCCCTCCACCGACTAGCACCTTCCTCTCGAACTGAAAAAGAAAAACGCACGAAGGCTTCTCCAGCCCGAACTCCGGCACAGGTTCATCGCCCTACCCGGAAACGCAGCCCCAGGCGCGCAGCGCAGGGCGAGGGCCTGGCCGGCTACGCGGGCGGCGGCGGCG